TCCGTCCGTCCGTCTGTCCGTCCGTCCGTCCGTCTGTCCATCCGTCCGTCCGTCTGTCCATCCGTCCGTCCGTCTGTCCATCCGTCCGTCTGTCCATCCGTCTGACCGTCCGCTGTCCGTCCGTCTGTCCGTCCAAACTCAGAATCTTCAAACGGCGTTGAATCTTGGACAAATTGATACGGAGTTGACTTATTTGCGAATAGTGGGCGTTGCCGTTCTAACCAGGCATTTGCGTAATCGCGAGTGATGTGGAGAGGGCATCTATTGGTTCTTCTTGATTTGAAAATGAAAAGCTCTAGCGATAATATTGGTACTGCACACAGCCATGGAAGTTTCGAGTATCGCAGGTCCAGCGAGTGCTGTGCGTGAGGATGTCCTACCTTTTACTTCTTCGCAATGCCCCGTCCTGCTCAGTTCTTTTACCAAAAGGCGAGAGTGGAAGTTAAATTTTGCATCGCCATTTTTAACAAGAGACAGGTATGTAATGCTGCGCGAATAAACTGCGAATTTTCGGCAGAAAAACTCCTTTTAAAGGGCATTGTTAACGAAAAAGTGGATAAATCCAGTTTATAAATTTAAGGGGAAAATCCTCTAACTTGTGGTGTCACCAGAATCTCTGTTTTGTGGATCCTTGATACCGAAAAATCGACCGGAAGAGATGGCTCAGGGCATCAACTGATGTCACTGCAGTCACTCTGAGCGGGAGGTCGTAGGTTCGAGTCCCGACGGTGGCACTATTAGCTAGGTCGAGTTCAGTCGCTGTCTGGAAGAGAATTCTAGCGTCCGGCTGCTCTGATCTGTTGTTTTTTTTCGATCACCAGGCGAATGCTGGAGCAGAACATGACCAAACGAGCCACGGTGCGCGCGATATTTCCTACCTCTTCCTTGTATCCTCTTCCCTTACACATACATGCACTACACAAGCACACATTCTGGGAGGCCGGTCGGGACCTTAGAGCTTGTCCCGACTGGGGCGGTGCCCTGCTGGTGGGAAATACCTAGTAGGGGAAACCCCGTTAGCGGGCGGCAGGTCGGCTCCGGATCCCGCCATACAGCGAGGGAAAGATCACCGCCACCTCCCGAGCTAAAATTAGCATTACACTTCCTGAACTAATGACTCTGGTAGTTGCCGTGCCCGGAACCATTAAAACAGTCAACCGAAAAATCGATTGACGGGAAAACGTCTATGAACAACGCTAATTATAGGTGTAAGAAGGCGCCAAAAATTTTATTATTTTTTTTCAATTTTCTAAAATTAGGGTTTTCAACCAACATGAGATCTGTACCATTTCTTAAACGTCCTTCAAGACCCCAACAAAATTTCAATCATTTAAACCGTTTAGCCGATTTTCTCCAAAATTGATATTCCTTGATCGATCTTGCTGATGTCGGGGCCCCTTGATTTTGAAATCGATATTTTAATTTTGTGAGGCACTTTACATGAAGCCCCTGGGACATTTTTAAAAAATGGCTCCACGATTTTTATTAAATTTTATTGATGGATAGATTTGCTGAAGAACAATTAAGGATGGTTGGATTTGCTGAAGGACATTTAAGAAAATGGCCCAGGTCTCATGTTGGTTAAAAACTCTAATTTTTTGAAAATTGCAAAAATTCAAAAATTTTCGGCGTCTTTCTACAACTAAAATACTAAAGATAGATATTTTTTCCTTAATATAATCTGTTCCTTAAAGGTAGATTTAGAAATAAAGTCACGTACAATTTTTCGAAAATTTGAGTATTTTTCGCGTAAGTGTACGTGAAATATAGGCAATTTTTAATTGATGTTTAAACATTTTTTTCTTAAAATGGGGTTCATTCAACATTACTTTATTTGAAAATCTGTTTTTGACGAAATTTTGTTGGTGAAAGCCTGAAGGACGTTCAAGAAAATGGTCCAGGTCTCATGTTGGTTGAAAACCCTAATTTTCGAAATTTGAAAAAATTCAAAAAAATTTCAGCATCTTCCTACTACTACAATTATCAGGATACAATTGGTTTCTTAATGAAATGTGTTTATCAAAACAGGTTTTCATATAAGGTCATGTTGAATTTTTCGAAAATTGGAGTATTTGGGAGTCAAAGTTGTTCTCCCGCTCTGAAAATCCGCGCTTCATCGTAATTTTGGGTGTTTTCAAGCAGTTGAATGCTACGTGTGTTAGAATGTGTATATTTTTTCATATTTTATATTTTTGTTCGTTTCTTACATTGAAGCTTTTGTTGTACGTTTAGACATTATTTAAAACCTATTATTATAAATATGAAATAAAGATTGCTAGCCTTCAGTCGCTCGTTCCCAATTTATGCAGTTGGATGCTACGTAAGTTAAAATTTATATATTATTTCATAGTTCATTTTTATATTATATTATATTTATGTCAATTGATTTTAAATTGTGTTAAATGTGAAACGAATGAGCGGTCATTGTTAGTTGTTGTTACCCATTGTTGTTACGCCGCACAGATAACAAAAGGCGATAATGTCGTCCACTTTTCATTCGCGGTAATAAAAACGAATCCATTTATATATTTGTAGAATATTACAATACCATAGTGTTTAATAATTACTATTATATTTTTGATTTGTTTGACAATGCTATCAGTATCGTATTATTTATTAACTTTTAATTATTTTACTTTCTCGTATTTTACTTATTTTTCGCACCAAATAATATACGATTTCAAA